TTCCTCTCCACCTATCCTCTCCTCTATCCATCTTCTATCCGCCTCCCCCTCTCTCCCTATTTACTTCAGAACCCCCTTCCCCTCCCCCATTTCTGATGAAGTGTCTCGGCCCGAAACGCCAGCCTTTCTGCTCCTATGATGCTGCTTGGCCTGCTGTGTTCATTCAGTTCTGCACCTTGTTGTCTCGGATTCTCCAGCATCTGCTTTTCCTACTATCCCCTCACCTACAGAACTTGTCTAGTTTCTTCCTCTAGTTCATCGGCTTGTTGAATCTGCTGGTAAAATATGTGAAGATCAGGCAGAAGCAGGCGATGTCTTCACTGCAAAACCCATTGATAAATACAGGCTCATTAACTGAGGAACAGACATTTGCACAAGCTACCATAAAGATGGCAAGCAATTTTATTTAGACAAACTTCTGCAAAATTAATTTTGATGGACTGGACATTTTGCAGAGTTGAGAGATTCAGCTATCTGAACAGACATCATCCTCAAAGCTCAGGGGCAATCAACGAGAATGACAAGAGTGGTTAGCGTCTATGATACCACATTCAAGACAATGTGGCATCTGCAGAGAAAAGAATGCTATAGAGGAAGCAGTGAGCATATCATGTATGGTAAAGGCTTAGTTGCAACCCTCTCGTTTTAACGGGGCTTCAATTGCTGCAGAATGGCAAAATTCAGGAATCCAATAGCCAGGGCCGCATGCACCAAAAAGGTTCAGTTTTGCAATAGTGTTGTTACATCAGACGTAGGCACATTAACTGACAGGATCTTAATAAACAAAACCAAAATCAAGGGTGGTGGATGTTTTGAACCTCAAAGGTTATAAGCACCGTAGAGAGAATATCAGGTGACTACAACTGAGAAAGTAAGCCATATTACTAAAGATCATTACAAAGCTTTCATAAACTAAAGAGATCGGAAATAATTTGATAGAGCTTTATGCAAACTCTGAGCAAACTGTCAAATGACACAGACTTGACTCAACTTAAAGATTTTAGTTAAAAACAGTTTATGGAAAACATGCACTTTGGCTCGAGACTAGTGTTGTTATGAAAGGTTGTAAAACTGAAACCTCGAAACAATCCAAAGATTCCCTTCCTAGCAACAGGAGCAAAGTCTGCAGAACACAAAGAGATCTCTGTCTGTGTCTAGATGGCAACTTAGACTTCCTACCATCAGTCTGCACCTGCTGCCAATATCTCTTGACAGGCAGTAACTCAATTCAAAGAAAGGACAGAAGATGCAGAAGAATGCAATACTCACAAGGTAAAAGCATTTTTCTCCAGAGTACAGGGCACATGGCAAATTAACAACTTTTGACTATCAGAAAATTAGGAGAGCACCCCATCACTGCGAGGTGTGTGTAACAGCTGTCAAGGAAGCAGGTAATCCATTATGATGACCTTTTTATCAAAAGCTCGAAAATGAAGGTTGGTGGACTTGTGGACAGCGTGGAGAGCTGTTGTAGGTTGCAACGGGACATTGACAGGATGCAGAGCTGGGCAAAGAAGTGGCAGATGGAATTCAACCCAGAAAAGTGTGAAGTGATTCATTTTAGAAGACTGAATTTGAATGAAAAATACAGGGTTCATGGCAGGATTCTCGGCGGTGTGGAGGAACAGAGGGATCTTGGGGTCCACATCCATAGATACCTCAAAGTTGCTACCCAAGTTGATAGGGTTGTAAAGAAGGCGTATGGTGTGTTGGCTTTCATTGGCAGGGGAATTGAGTTTAAGAGCCGTGAGGTTATGCTGAGGCTCTATAAAGCTCTGGTTAGACCACACTTGAAATCTGATCACCTCATTATAGGCAAGATGTGGAAGCTTTAGAGAGGGTGCAGAGGAGATTTACCAGGATGCTGCCTGGACTGGAGGGCAGGTCTTATGAGGAAAGTTTGAGGGAGCTAGGGCTTTTTTCATTGGAGCAAAGTAGGATGAGAGGTGACTTGATAGAGGTATACAAGATGATGAGAAGCATAGATAGAATGAATAGTCAGAGACTTTTTCCCAGGGCAGAATTACTATTACGAGGGGGCATTATTTTAAGGCGATTAGGGGAAGGTATAGGGGAGGTATCAGAGGTAGGTTCTTCACAGAGTGGTGGGCACGTGGGATGCGCTGCTGGCAGTGGTAGTGGGGTCAGATACTTTACAGACTTTTAAGAGAGACTTTTATAGACTTGGATAGGCACATGGAAGATAGTAAAATGTAGGGTATGCAGGGTAGATTGATCTTAGTAGGATAATAGGTCAGCACAACATCGTGGGCCGAAGGGCCTGTACTGTGCTGTGTTCTATGATTTTAAGATGGCAGCTGAAATTGATACACAGGGGCAACAGATTAAATATAAACAAACAGTCAGAGTTGATAAAGTGCAGAAATGATTAGTTGGGTAATGTAACTGGTCAAAGGTGTAAGTGAGAGCTTGTAAAACCAATCAACATTCTGAAATCTTGTACCATTATCCATTGGAATATGTTTGATGAGTTCTGTGATTGAGTACCTAAATCAGTTGGTGATGTGTAGGCTCGAAATTAGGGCAAGTTGAGATGAAAAATAATTGACCTTTGTCAATAACTCTGGAATTTTCAGCTTTTCGAATTTCATTGCTGCATTATTTCTTCACTGGCAATAAATTCTTAAACAGAGGGCCCACAACATCAAGTTAATGCTCTCTCCTGAAAGTTTTTGGGAGTAGCAGACCGAATCTGATATCCTTCACATCAGATAATATGCAGTGACCATTCTGACACATAATTCCCACTCAACGCATTTCCAAGTGGAGGTCATGGATTATAGTGCCAAAATTTCTCTTCAGTGGACCAAGGACACTGAGGCAAATCACACTGCAGCAGTGACTGCACTGGGAAAAATGCATCAACTCGGAGCAAGGCATGGTTCAAACTGAGAATCTTCCTAGTCCAAATATTAGATTTCACATCAACTACTTTTGCAACTGGGGGAGATCCCTGATATACATGGCTCATTGTGCAAAGGATCTCAAGACTCATCACACTAAAGCCCAAGTAGATAATGATGATTTTGAACGGAAATTAAGTTTAGTACCGCAGTCTCTTCCCATTCCTCAGTTATCATGAGAAAGTATTTAGAAACGTAATTCATGTTGAAGAAAGAAATGTTAACATTTAAACGATGTGTTATTTTTGCTCTCTTCTCTGCACTGCAAAATGGTCCTACAGTTGCTGACAGTTCTCCAGTATCATATCCAGATAATCACACTTCTTGCAAGTCTGATAACAAGTACCAGCAGACTATTCACTCAAAAAGGGCACTCCAGCTAATGCTGGTCCTGCCCCCGCTCTATAACCTACATAGATGAACATTTCAAAGAAAGCATTTGGATAAAGATCAGACACGGGAATTCTGACCAAGCTTCTGCACCTTCGCCAAATTATCACTTAATCCACATAAACACTGGGACTATACAACTTAGTACTTCGTAAACTGATGATACAAATTAACAGTTTTTATGTCTGTACATACTCCTATATCAAACTGAGCATTGCACAAATAACCAAGCATCTTACCAGAACTTGACGTGGAACCTCGTCCTGTAACCACACCGGATGCATTCTGCTCCCGTGGCACCGGTCCACTTCCAGAGCTCTCACTTTGGGAGTTCTTGTCCCACAGATTCACATTCTTATAGTTGTAGCTGTTGGGATCACCCCAGGCTGAGGTGCCATCATCGATCTCCATCTTTCGAGAGATGGACTGTGGTGAAGGTTCTTCCCATCCAGTAGGTTCTTCCTCCTTTGGCACAACTGGGATGGGTGCAGGTGGCACAGAGGCTGAGCCCCAGCCAGGTCCTGATTGCCGGCTCCCTGTAGAGGTTGTGCCCCAAGAGCCAGAGACATCCTGTTGTTTATTCCAATTAGTGGTGGCTGTTTTTGATGGCTCACCCCAACCCTGGTGTCTTGTTGGATCCTCCCACCCACTTCTCTGGTTTGAATTAGAGTTACTACCACCCCAAGATCCTACTTCACTACGCCCACTGTCACCCCACCTGGAGTTTGAATTGTCCCATCCACCTGCTTTTGGTTGTTCAGCTGGTTGCCCACTTCCATCACCCCAACCACTGCTGGGCGACCAACCTTGAGTTGGTTGCTGTCTTGCACCCCAACCAGGTTCTTTGATTCTAGGCGCATCATTCCATGTTGGCGCCTTCTCTTCTGGTGTCCCACCTACCCAGCCTTGACTGTTTTTTGGGTCCACCCATCCACTTGGACTCTCAGACTCCATACTTGAAGACTGTGGAGCATCTCCCCACCCAGAGTTGCAGTGACTGCTTTGACTGGGTGCTTCACCCCAGCCCCCTGAGTTAGTGCTCTGAGTGGTGGTGCTCTCCCACCCTTCTGTTCCTCTGTCAGTGCGCCTCTCATTCCTCGGTGACTCCTGTACATCCCACACTGTGTTCTGCTTAATCTGAGTTTGACCCCACCCAGTATTTGACAACACTCTAGGGTCCAGATCAGACCTACTTATTACAGACTGTATTACCTCCTCTTGATCAAGAGGATCAGTCTTGTTTAAGCGCCGTCCTCCTGGGTGGTTTTCTGAGCCTCCCCTTTTGTTGTTGCCTCGACTACCAGAATCACTCCCAGTGGAACTAGAGGCCTTCACCCAGTTGGAATTTTGGGAGTTGTCTACTTGGTTTTCTGGGAGGGGATTTACCCTGTGATTGTCCCATCCGCCTGTGCCACAATTCTGTTCATTAGGAGTGCCACCCCATTCCCCTTCCGAGCGATTATCAGTCCCTGGCTGTTGCCCCCACAAACCCTGAGCACCACCTGATGCTGTTCTGTTCCCTTTGCCCCAATTTTTTGATTTGTTGGGGTCTTGTGCCTCAGAGTCCCAAGATCCACTATTACTGTCCCATGATTCAGTTCTTGATCTATTCACCAGTAACTGTTTCATACCAGAGCCAGCCTTTGCTGTATCATCACCATTGCGTCCACTATTGCCATCAGCTCCTGTACCATTTTGTCCAGAAATTGAATCAGTTCCAGAAGACCCCCAAACTGTATTCCAAGATCCCCCAGTTCCCCGTCCCTCCATAGTTCCTTTAATACTGCCTTCGGATGAGGCTTCAGTGCTCACAGATTGATTCAATACCAAGGGGTTTCCCAAACCCATTCCTAATGGCATGTTCCAGGTCCCATTTCCTGTTGTATCAGACACTCCCTTATTTTGCAAAGGGTTCCCGGTGCTCTGTGAGCTTGCATTCAAAGAGTTAGTGTCGCCATTATTTGGTCCATCAGTGTTAAGAGCTTGAGGCTGTTCTCCAACAGAAGCATTCCATGTAACACCCGCATTTTCCGTTTTTGACTTATTTGCCCAGGCGCTTGCAGAAGTACCATCCTGATCCCTAGGGCTTTGACCTACTGCACTGAGTTGTGCACTGGAGCTTGAAACATCAGTCTCCAAAGTCCCTTTTCCAGAATTGCCCTCCTGACCCAACACTGGCCAGGCCGATGGATTGATATTTGGGTTCAAGGTCAACCCAAGGCCAGCTCCATCAGGATTGCTCAAGTTTTTCCAATTGCTAAGTCCGTCTTTGCTCTCCGAAGAGATGGAAGATGCGTGACTGGGTTTAGGCACGAGGCCCATGTTCCAGGCCCCCAATTTACATTCATTCTTTCCGCTCCCAGCAGCAAACTGGTTTGCAGCTCCTTTGCAGCTCCTGGCAGCGCCACTTCCTGGTGGCAGGCTCTTCTCTGAGCCAAGGTTTGAGGCACCTTCGTTGTCTACGTGTTCCGAAGCCGACTCAGAGTCTCTGCCTGTGATGCAAGGCCAAGCCTCCATATCAGACCCGTCTACGATTAACTTATCCCAGCCGTGGTTGAGGTCAGTGCTGGACGATCCAGAACCCCAAGCAGAATTTGCATAATTTGAACCAGCACCCCCAGGGTTTGCGTCTATAAAAAGGAGCAAAATATGAATGTGTGTCCACTTAGGGGAAAAACTTTTATAAAATTTGAACAAGTCTATACTCGGAAGGAATTTTCAAACTCATTTCTCACTGATACTCAAACAATATTTAATATTTTAGCATTGGCAATGTAAAGAAGAGGGGTAATAGTAAAATATACAATTTCCTCCAGATGTTTAAAGAGTAAATGGTACCACAGTGTTAATATCACTGGTCTACTAATTCACTAGTCTAAATCACAGCAGCAGGTAGAATTTAATTTCAACTAATTTGGAAATTGAAAGCTATGGTAATGGTGACTATCAAACTATTAATGTTGCAAAAACTCCTGTGGTTCATTAAAGCCCTATAGGGAAATAAATTTGTTCCTTCCTGATCTGGCCTGGATCTGATTCGGCCTGGATCTGATTCTTAACTACACTGAAATGGCCTCGCAAACAACTCAGTTCTAGAGTTATTAGGGATGAGCAATAAACAGCAATAACCACATGAAAACATGAAGTCTTAAAATTCGAAAAGCAGGAAGATGAAATATCTCAGTGTTCCTAAAAAACCTTATTTTAAAAAGTGCAAATTACCCCAATGGGTAAATAAGACAAGGACATAGTCTGGAGCTGCACTGAGTTATGGAGACTACATAGTCATTAGCTAGCTTTCTGCACTCTGTAGTGTTCACTCCACGTAGACAAGGTCAGCAGCTGGGGCATACAGATGTTGCCACAAATGGCCTCAGTGTTCATGGAAGCAAATTTTTTTCCTTTTCTCCATTCATAATTACTAGCCAACTTAAGGTTCTTTGGTAGTATTCAGTGACTTTTGCTGGAGGAATGTGCATTAGCGGAGAATAGGCTCAGACTTGCTTGCAATGATGTCTCTGTCAAATAGCCTGAAGTATTTTGTTTAAAAAATAGTTATTTCAGTAAAAAACTGAACGACAACCAGTTACTGTAGAGTTGTACACCAAAAAAAGGGCAACCCTCACCTCGAGGACAGAATAATTCTACAAGATTAGTGTATATGTTGTTTTTTGAAAACATCATGAGATGAGCAAATACGACCTGGGCTTCGAAAGCTTTACTGGTTTCCACCCCCTGGTGCATCAGTCGCAATCCCATCAGATGAGGGAACCAAGCTTGTTCTATGAATTAAGTATTTAAATTGCTCTCTCATCCTATGATCACACTCTGAAAATAACATGAGCAGCCTAATGGAATTAAACAAGGCGGCTTCACACAGTGTCTTAAGACATGACAAGAGTGGTCATTTTGCAAATGGAGAACTAGTAAAGAAATAATCCTGAAAAGAAATCTAAATTCATCTTTTCCATTGGTACAGGCTTTTGTTTTAGATTGCCTGTGAAAGGAATGTTACTTACCCACTGGTGTACTGCCGTGCTGCAGTGGACAGCTGGGCTGCGTCAATGGTTGTGCAGTGCCAGGGTTTGATCCTGGCAACCCAGGAGGCCCCGCCCCACCTCCAAGAAGCCCACAGGAAGGTGGAGGGGGCTGACCACGTTTTAGTAACACTTTGTGCTCGTGCTGGCGAAATCGAGGAGGCACCTCACGGGGCAGATAGCGGGCGGCGTTCTGTGGCTGGCCGTTGGTGGCCACCGCCCTTTTGGCATTGTTACCACCGTTGCCGGCTGGTGTTGGAACGCTGCCAACTGGGGTGGCAGTTGGAGGCTGGCTTAGGCTTGGCTTCGTCGCTTCGGGCACTAGGGAAATAAAATACAGACCAATTAGTAATTAGGAAACAATTTCCAGACACAAAAGTAGAGGGAAGATTTGTTTAATTTTTGTTGTATTTTGCAAACCATTCATGTTTTATCTAACATGATGAAATATAAAGACATTATGCAGCTGGCTTATTGAATTAAAATTTTATTCATGAAGGAGGCAATTGACAAAGAGCCACCTCATAGCAACGCAGATAACAAGTTAACATTGATGGGTCCACTGGTATTAAATAAAACCTCCTAAAGTATTACAGAATTTGAAATTGTGAAAAACACTTAGGAGGAAACAAAAGGGTAATCTAAAGGCAGCTACATACTACACAAATCTTATTTCTACACTTGTTCCAGTTGCATCTTGTGCTTTAATTCAGCTGCCTTCCATTCCAACAGCCTCACCCCCTCATCTTCTCCCTCAAACCCCACGCCTGTATTTGCTTAAAACCCTTAACATCTCTAACCTTTTCCAGTAATGATGCAAAGGTCAGAAATCCAAAACACTCAGTTTCTCTCTTCACAAATGCTGATTAACCTGAAGGCTTCCAGAATCTACAGCTTTCATTCGGCATAAATTTGACACCAGGTTATATAGTCCAACAGGTTTATTCGAAATCATAAGCTTTCAGAGCGCTGCTCCGTTATCAGGTGAAGTATCCAGTCCAACACTGGCATTTCCAAATCACGGATATCTCACTTCAAGATTTGAGTACACAATCTAGACCAAAACTTCAGAGTACTGACAGAGTGCTGTACTGCCAGAAGCACAGCCTTTCTGATATGACACTAAATTAAGGTGCCGTCAATCTGCTCAAGTGGGGGTAAAATGTTCTATGGTAGAACTGAAGAAGTGGAGACTTTATCAATCACTTACCGAACGTTACATCCAAATGATAAATTTCAAAAGTACCTCATTGATTAGAAAAAACATTCATCTCTCACCTACATCAAATTAGGTAAACTGGTCATGTATCTCATTTTAATGTTTTGGGTGTTTTCTACATGAAAAGTAACTGAAGTCTGCAACAGTCACTATACTTCAGGAATAGCCTGCGAGTTCTGGAGGTGCTCTGTGCTATACCTTCAAGCTGGTCTCCACAAACTCTGTAAATGGCCATTTTAAGTTTAGTACATAACTCAAAGCTATGAAAGTGCTTAAATTAAAACTTCATCAAGGCTATTAGTCTAGCCAAGACACTAAACGTTTGAGTAGACAAACCAGTGAAATGCAACTGCAAGATTGCCAGACCAGAGTATTTCCAATATTTTCACTTCTGATTTCAGGTTTTCACGGTACTTTATTCTGGCTGCGTTTCTTTATAATTCTTGTACCACTTTGAACAGGTACTCACTATGGTGTGTGATGTGGAGAACATGTATTGAAACAAGTCTAAGTCATTCAAAAAAGAATTGTGTAAAATACTTACAATAATGTAACAGTTAAGAGCAAAGGAGGAAAGAGTTCCAGTGGCTTCATTCTGCTAAATGCTGCCTAACAAGATGTCAAAGTGATCCATTTGGGCAAACAATTTATGGATTAGCAGCCACAACCATAAAAAATGAGATCAATTTGAGACAAAGTGCAAGCCTTGTTATCAATAGCACTCAAAGAGGGCAAACCACTTTATAATCGATTGATTGTTCTTTTTCCCCCATGAGATTTCAGAATATAGGTTGAAATTCAAAATGGTCATAATACCACAGCATTAATTCAGATGTTGCAGAGCTTGACGGCATAAAGATGGCATTTGGACGTAAGTCAGCAAATGCTGAGAATACTCAAAAGGGGCGAAAATGCACAGAAATCAGCCAGTGCCTCAAAAGGGAACAAAATTCTCTTCTATTCCATCACTGATTGACACTATATTGACAATTTTGTTTCTCTCTCAAATTTCCAGCAATTACTGTTTCCTTTTAATTTTTGTAAACATCCTTTTTTTCCATTCACGGTAATGGTGAAGAGCTGCCCCCATGCCTTTAATTAACATCATTCTGAATCAATCTCAAGTTGTACAACAGCGTTACAGAAACTTTTGTCCAGTAACCCTGGCCCCTCCCTTGCAGCAATAGCTCCATATTTCAAAAGGCATATCCACATTTAGCCAGTTCAAATTCAGTTGGAGGTATGACAGCATTCTAGAAACCCAGGTAATGTTCTAAGGATCTGAGTTCAAATCCCACTAGAGTGTGGAAAATAAATTTCAATAATAATCTGGAATTAAAAGTCTCATGATCACCATGAAACCACCATCAATTTCCAAAGAAAATAATGTGGTTCATTAATGCCCTTTAGGGAAGCAAATTTGCTGTACTGCTGACTCAAGACTCTCAGCAATGTGAATGACTCTTAACTGCCTTCTAGAGTGGTCCAACAAGCAATTCTGTTATCATCAACTGCGAAAAGTCTCAAGAAAAACAGATCATCTGATATCAACAACCCTTGGTGGTGGGATCAATAACAAGGAGGTATAGATTTAAGACAAGAGGTTAGAGGGGATGTGGGGAAATATTTTTTGCTCTTAGAGGGTGGTGGCAATCTCGAACTCACTGCCTACAAGAGTTGTGGAGGCAGAACTCAATATTTTAGTAGTATTTAGACGTACACTTGCAAGCCAAGGCAAACATGGATATGGGCAAACTGCTGGAAAAACTAATTAGAATAGTTAGGTGATTGTTTTTGACCAGCACAGACTCAAAGGGCTGAAGGACCTTTTCCCTCTACTATGGGCCTTATGACTCTCAGACAACAGCAAATCCAGTCCAGTGAATGCTTCAAAATCATCCTTACCAACATCTGATGACAAGTGGCAAAATATAAAAAGCTGTCTCACAGGCTAGTCAGACACTCATACTTATGGAATTATAATATTACAGACTATGTCTCAGACAAGACCATCTGTTACGGAGGGAAGGTTGACCCTGCCCCCCCACCTCTGATAACTAAAACCAAAACACCCAGAGAAGCTCACCTCGCCTTGTAATCTGTTGAAGGAAGTGTGCAAAGTAGCACAACCTGCCTCTCACCCCCTGCCAAATCGGTTATAAAGGATTGGTTAAGCGAAAGAAATCCCTGAAACCGACTTTATAAATTAATGAGCAATTTATTTAACTCTAACAGTAAACAAATTAACAGAACTACTAACAAACCAAACAATTCCCCCTTAACTACTAACTATTCCCGAATAAAGCGAAAATCTAATGGTATGCTGCTCCAATAAACACAAGCCCCACTTATATAAACCAAAGTAATAAGAAAAATAAATTAAAACTTAATCTCTCAAAATTACAATCAGGATAAGTCTTCCGGAATGTTCTTCGCCTTCTCCGCTGTTCTCCAGTCAGGAGCGCCTTTCTCTGTCGAATTCTTGTGGCAGGAATATTAGCTAAGAGTGCTGCTGTATCTTTAGTTTGGATGATGATTTTCTGAGGGCTTAGAGAATTGTGAGAGAGCCAATGATTTTCTTTTTTATAGCTGAGAGCTGTTCTTTTGGCAGATGACAGGTGACAGTCACACCAATTTTCAAACGCCATCTTCTTTTATACCCTTGATGATCTATTAATTTCTTATAGAAGGATAGGTCCTAGGTTGTCAAAACCATCAGATTTAAATTCAATTGGATTTTGTTATCTAGGCCTGATTTAAATTAGTTGGCTAAATTCAAAAGCCTGTTGTCTTAGTGAAAATGCTGCTTTGCCTGCTAACAGTATAGCCATTCTGATAGTGTTTCAATTTCAAGAATTCTGTGCATCCGCTGTTGCCTGCAGACTCTTTTTTAAATCTCCACGCCTGGAAAAAACATCATTTTATAAAGGGGCCACACACTCTTCCCCTTATCAAATACTCTACCAAACTTTGCAACTCCATCATCTCTTAGTATGCCCTGTCCCATCAGGATAGATGTAGAAGTGACAGCGGAGTGGTATACAGTCAGAGGGAATTACCCCAGGAGTCCTTGACATAAACTCTAGGTCAACTTGACCTACGTGCTGCATGGCCACTTTGTGATCCAGCTCACACTGATTGACGTTCTGTTGCCTTGACTTCCACATGTGGAAGTTGCTGCTTTGCATGGACTTTGCAGTCCACATAGTAGAAACTAAATTAGGGGGAAATGCAGCTCCAGACCTCATGGAGTCTCATGTCACACATGGGCAAAGAACCTTCATGCTGATTACCAAGTACCACTCCCCGGCCCTCAGCTGATGAATCAGTACTCCTCCACCACTTGGAGGAATCATAGACAATGTCAAGGGTGCAGAATGTACTTTGGGTAGGAGATTTCAATGTTCATCACCAAGAGTGGCCCAGTAGCACCATTACTGACCGAGCTGGTCAAGCCCCAAAGAACAAGGCTGTTAGACTGGATCTGTAGCAGGTGGTGAGGGTAACAGGAGGGAAAAATATACTTGGCCTTATCTTGACCAAGCTGCCTGCCAAAGATGCAACTGTCCACAACAAAATTGGAAGGGTTTCCACTGCACAGTCCTTCTGGAGATAAAGTCCTGTCTTCACACTGAATACCTTGCATCATGTTGTAACACCTCACAACTAGATTAAGTGGGACTGATTTCAAACTGATTCAGCAACACAAGGCTGGGCATCCATGAGCTCTGGGCCATCACCTGCAACACAAATGTACTCCAATACAATCTGCAAACCTTTTGCACATCATATTACCCACTATCATGGTAGGGAATTATAAACAAACTGCTGGAAATAAAACAGAAGTTGCTGGAATAGCTCAGCAAGTCTGGTTGCATCTGTGTAGAAAAGGATCAGGGTTAACATTTCGGGTCCGGCGGCCCTTTCTTCTGAGGAGGGTCACCGGACCCGAAGTGTTAACCCTGATTTTTTTCTTCACAGATGCTGCCAGACTTGCTGAGCTTTTCCTGCAACTTCTGTTTTTGTTCCCAATTTACAGCATCTGCAGTTCGTTCAGTTTTAATTTGCTGGCAGAAGCCAGCAAGCCTTGCAGCATCTGTGGGGAGAGCGAGTTATTGATAATTGGACAAGACAGAAGAGAAGCTGAATGTGATATTTAGAGCTGAGAGGAGGAGAGAATGAGTTGTGATGAAAAGCAATCCATATCAAGACAGGAACAGGTGGTAGGGGGTGGGTTTATAAAGAGATGGAATCAGGCTCTAAAATTACTGAACTCAATGTTGAGCCCCAGAGGCTTGGGGATCATGAATCTGTCCTTCCAATTTTTTTTTAGAAAAGCGATGACATGGGTGGTTTTTAGCACAGCCAACCCATTCTATCCTATTCTCTGCTCTCATCATTACTTATTCAGCTTCTCTTTTGTCCTGGCCTCCTACCTGCCTATCTACCTCTTATCTCTCTCACTGGGCTTCGCCTCCAACCCCCAGCCTCGTCTTCAGCATAAATACCCCTTTTTACTAGCTGTTATCAGTTCAACAGTGTCACCAGACTCGAAACGTTTACTTCTCCACTGCTTTTCTCCCCACTGATGTTGCCACACCTGCTGTGTTTCGCCAGCAATTTCTGTTTATATTTTATATCTCCAACATCTGCAGTCCTTTATTTTACTACGGAAGGTCATCAACCCTGGTTCAATGAAAGGTGCAGGAGAGCATGTCAGGAGCAGCACCATGCATACCTAAAAATGAAAGGAAGGCACAAAATGGACTAACTTGCAGGCAAAAGAGCACAAGCAACAAGTGATACAGACAAGGCCATACAATTCCACATTAATAGATTAGATCTACACCCTGCAGTCCTGTCACATCCAACTGTGACTGACAATGGGCAATTAAACAACTCACCAAAAGAGGGTCCACAAACAATAATGGGGGAAGCCAGCATATTAGTACAAAAGATAAGGCTGAAGGATTTGCAATACTCGTGAGGCAGAAGTGTCAAGTTAAGGATCCATCTCCAGAGATTCCTAGTATCAGAGACACCAATCCTTGCCAATTTAATACACTTCACATGATAGCAAGAAATAGCTGAGGAAATGTGAGATACTGCAAAGGCTATAGGCCCTAGCAACAGCGTTGAAGTAGTGTTCCAAAACATGATATGCCCTGAGCCAAGCTGTTCCAGTACAGTTACAACACCAGCATCTACCTAAAGTGAAAAATTGCTCCACTAATGACCTGTACACAAAACAGAGGACAAATGCAACCTGGTCAGTCAGTGCCCCATCAGCCTACACTATCAGTAAAAAGATGGAATATGCATCATCAACAGTGCTACTAAACAGCAGTTGCTCAGCATCAACCTGCTCACTCACACGCAGTTTAAGTTTAGTCAGGGCCAATCAGTTCCTAAACTCCTTACGACCTTCGTTCAAAAGGTGGACCAAAAAAAGTTGAAATCTAGAAGCAAATGAGAATGACTGCCCTCAACATCAAGACCACATCTGACTGTGCGGCATCAAGCAGTCCTAGCAGTCAATGGGAATCAAAGCAGAAATCCTCCATTGATTGCAGTCATACCTGGCACAAAAAAAATGGTTGCAGTTTTTTTTTGGGGGGGGCGGAAATCAGCCATTTCAGCTCCAAGACATCCTCACAGTAGTGCCCTAGGCCTAACATTCTTCAATCAACTGTCATGCTGCTTCAATGACTTTCCCTTCATTATAAGGTCTGAAGTGAGGATTGTCACTTATGATCACACACCATTCACTCAGTGACTTAAGCAGTCCACGTCCAAAAACTAAGACCTGGTCAATATCTGGAATTGGGTTGACAAGTGGCAAGTAATACTTTTGCCACACAAGTGCCATGCAACAATCAACTTCAATTAAGATAGAATCTAACCATCACCCTTTGACATTCAAAGGCATCACCATAGCTTAATTCCTTAAAATTCCAGCCATCAAATGGACTGGCAGCTGTCCAAAAAGGCAGCTCACCAACACCTCTCAAAAGGTAACTGGGGTCAGACAATAAAACATTGGCCCAGGCAGCAACACACACCATAAATCCCTTGAATGAATTAAAGAAAAATGGATTGAGGAAGGTAGGAGGGGAGAAGTGTCTCAGCTTGAACTAGCAAAGAGGAAAGTGTAATGGGTAAAAGAGTGGGAGAAATAAAGCACAAAATCCTCAACTGTAACAGAATCCCAGTCAGCAAGTGCCATAGTACACAGCTGTTTATGTAAAGTTTGCAGGTTTCACAGTAGGTAATTTAAAGGCTCGCAAGGAAAAAGGGAGAATTCGGTTTTAGCTCATGCACTGTTGCACAGTTGCTGGAATCACAGTTAAGAAAAGGAATACACCGTAAGTCTGCAAGCTTCCAAGAAAGAAAGTGGAGAGATCAAAGTGATGCAGGGTCCCACAATCACTGCCAGCAAAAAGCCCTAGCTAGAAGATTCATCAGCACACCTACTGTTTTTCTCTCAGACAATGACTGATCTATTCTGGTTTCTGATTTTATTTCAGATTTTCAGTGTTTGATATTTTAATTTATTCTTCATAAACCGATTACATTTGTTTATATGGGATAAGTCACCGTGGTTGCTAACAATTCTCACTGCAAACCACAACACAGTCAAGCCTACCCATTAAAGGCCAGGTAGTTTATCATCTTGAGATTCAAGCTGTTCTCTGCTGACTATGACAGATTTTCAGCTAAGACCAAGGGAACAGTTTATATCAACAGCGTTTGTCATAACGAGGGCAGACTGATCTTTGATACTGTTTCAAGTGTTAAAGTAACACTGTGCAGCTGTGCTTCGTTCACTGATGTGGGACAGTGGTCAACTGCAGGCATTAAACAATATGGCTAGTATTACAAACAAAGATTGTTTACTTGAAATTTTACATGCCATTATTTTACTTTCTGGGCACCTGATAATTGCACATATTTGGTTTCATAGGGTTTAAAATATACATCTTTTTAAACTCTCAACCTGGTAATACAGCTTTACTTTTATCTCTTAGTTATTTATGAAAAGACCAAGAAATAACTCTCAGATCCAACCTAAAAGAAGTGCAACCTTGCACACTGTTACAAATTTGCTACTTTTTTTGACTTTGGCATAAGATGAAAAAGTGTTCCCAAGTCAGGAATAAAACCGTTAAATACCTCTCCTACATCCTAAGGAAGGTTCTTAAGATCCAGGAGACCAATAATTCATTAGGTTAGAATCTCAGGTACAAGGCGAACTCCAAGTAAAGGTGGATGAAATAATTGAGACAAGTGGCCAACACTGTTTCTTTTCTCATAGTAAAGATATCTTCGCTCCTGACAGCTTTTTAATATTGTTTGTACAAATGCGTATGTTTAAAAAAAGGACAGAATTCACGGATGCCTAGATCCAGAATCAAAACACAGCATTGCAGTTTGTGTAGGTCACGCAAGAATAATGTGCAGCTTAGATATTGGAAGTCTGACAGCTTCTAAATAAAGAGAGTTCCTTCAAGGGAGATATTTGGCCTCCTCTTTTCAAAAAGAACCTTGCAGTGTTTTTCATAAACAGTACACTCTTGCCAAATGTTACTCGCACCTGGGGCCCTAACTCCTTCACTGCGCCAAAGCCAAAAATACAGGTCTCACTGTAGTCAACTCAACTGCAACTAGGTAATCAACCACATCCATGCTTGTTTCAAATGTAAAGGTGTTGCAATGGCGCCCTCTGATGGTCATGTGACATGCCAGAAATTTGGCAATAATTCCTCGCTAGAAGCAAAATTCCCTCATTTCAGTCCCAAGGAACACTACTTTTAAAAGAAGTGAAACTTTAGAACGTTTACATTACAGAATTCCAAATAGATTGGTTCAGACAAGGAAAACACAACTCTGTAGCTTCGAGGTTTAGTAGACAATTTGTCCGATCATTAAATTTTGATTTAGCCGCATACACTCTTTAGAATCACTCATTGCGCGCACCTGGGAAATGGGACGGAAACCAGCAGAATACAGAGGGAGGTTCCAACAGTGTCCAGAATAGTTTAAACATGACAGTTCCTATATATGCTTAAGGACTTAGTTTAGTTAGGTTGTTTTTCATTCACTCCAATGCATGGTGTGCTTATTTATAGATATATTTTTTCAATTTGTATTTATGCACATACATATACATACACATCAATGTAAACAAAAATACATTGTTTGAACATTGTGGAAAAGGCAAAAAGGTCCCTTACCTTTGGTTTTTTGTTCTGTAACCTGAAACAGAAAAAAAAAGTTTGGTATTGGTTCCAAGTGACAAATCTACATCAGCAGCAGGATCTTATTCAAATCTGCCTCAAAAATCATCAATTCCATATTGACTCAACAATATTCTTTATACCAGGCCAGGTCTGGGAGTGGAAGGGGGAGAAAGAGAGCTATGCATCATTGCAGTCTTTAGCCACCACTGGATAGTTAATTTTTGACAGTTACCAGAGTTCAGCTAATTTGCCAACTAGTGGAAACTAGATTTGTTAGCCCTGGTGCTCAGTTAATGAAGACATATAACTAGTTGCTTTTATTTCCCCTGCACTGAAAAAGCATAAATTTTCTGTATCAGCCTTTAGCAGGTCCAAGGGGAATGCGACCAAATTGAAAATTCAAAATTTGTAAGGTGGCATATGGTGGCTGCCAAAATGCCAAAACCTGAGAGCAGTCAGTTGCCAGAGGTAAAACAGGATAGATATGCCTCGGTAATGACACTACAGAATTAGAGTTCCTAGTTATTCATTCAACTGCCAAATTATTAGCTTCAAGACAGCTATGCAAAACAGTCTTCACCCAATGGACAGTTCACTAAAGAAGCAAGCGGCTCGTTACCAAACATACACTGATAACGTACAAGACAAACTTGCAGAGCCAGCTCCAAGGTTGTCACTGGGTTTGTTTAAGTTCACAGATACAGCAGGGGTCACTTAAATATACTTTGCTTTCACAGGACCCTGATTTTTTAGCAAACTGATGATGTGTGTAAACAAAACTGCAGAAGGTAAAGTGTCAATGGAGATCGTGATTAGTACCACTATGTCTTGTTGTCGTGAAAGCCA